GGCAAAAACACCTGGCAGGCCGGATGAATGTCCTAGGTGGGCTGCCTGTGGCCCGCAGGCTGTAGTTTGAGGATGCCTGCCTTACATTGACCAGCTCCTTCACTTGACCTAATTTTCATAGGCCAGACATACCACACGTCCGTATCAGTACAGTAGGCCTTGTTCCTTATGTCGAGCACCTCTGTATGGTGACCAGTTTGTTAGAGTCCCTTGGCTGGCCAACTTACAGAGATTCTACTGTACTTCAACACTCTGAGAGTCCTCTATCTTAAGCTTTTCAGCACCATGTTCTAATAGGAGAGGGGCAAATCTACTCTCATGTACTGTATATACAGGCATGGGGTATTAAAAACTTTGCCAGGCTTCTGGTCTCCTTTGAGAGAACAAAGAGAAGTGGTCAAAAATAGAGGCTCTGGAGCCCTGCCGCCTGGGTTGGAATCCTAGCTCTAGCCTGTTATCTACAAAAGGAAGGCATAACTTTCCCTATCTCACCGGGTCTGTATGGGGATCAACTGTGTGTTAATGCATGTAAACTACCTCCAGGAGTGCCAGCACACAAGCATCACGCACTAGCCATTATTATTCTATTTTAATTTTATTGTAGTCTACCCATCTTTATTCTCCCATAATCTATTATTATATTTATTCTTTGTCTTAGTCTATTTGGTGCTGCTATAACAAATTACCTAAGAGTGAATAATTTAAAAGGAACAGAAATTTGTTTCCTCATAGGTCTGGAGGTCTTGGAAGTCTCAGATCATGATGAATTCAGGCCCTTTGGTGAGGGCCTTCTTGCTGTGTCCCTTCTCCCATGGCAAGAGACCCTTATTAAGGACCCTTATAATTAAATAAGACCACCCAAATAATTTAGGATAATTTCAGAGGAGATAATCCTTAACTTAATCTTGCCCTTAAAGCCCCCTTTGCCACATAAGGCTACAACATCATAGGTTCTTGGAACTAAACAGGAAAACATCTTCCAAGGGCCATTGTTCTGCCTGTGACAAAGAGAAAAGCATTGACAACCTCTTGAGATTGTTTAAACCAGTGGTACCCACCAAAGGTGATTCTGCTGTCCCCAGGGGATATTTGTTAATGTCTGGAGACATTGTCTGGTTGTTGAAGTGGGGAGGGAGCTATGAGTAGAGGATGAACCCAGAGTAGAGTCCAAGAAAGCTGTGGAACATCCCGTCTTGAACAGGACAGCCTCACAATGAACAAGTATCCAGCCCCAAATGTCCACAGTGGTGAGGCTAAGAAACTAGGATTGAAAGCATAAAATTCTTTGAAATCTTTTAAGTTAGGAAGGTTTCGATGCAACAGAAGCCAGTTTCAGGATTTACACTTACACAGAGAAGTCCACAGAATCATCCCAGCTCTATAACTCTAAGTTTTTGACAATTTTATGTGGTGAATAAGTTGTGAATAATACACCTTAACAGTAGGGTTTTGGGCTCTGCCTTAAGGTACTATTCGTTAAGTAGTATTTGTTTTATATCTGGCATAATCTTTCATAATGATGCATTTCACATATAGGCAACTTAATTTAAAGCATGTATTATAAACACAATTTTGTGTACATCATAAATATTTAAATCATAGATGCTAAAATTTAAAATTCATAACACCAAACAGATTTCACCATGATCCACAGCCTTTTGCAATATTTTATTTCTGCCTTGAAATAAATGATTACATCCCTTGACTTCAATAGATCAAAGAGGCAAGTTCACTTGCCGTGACATTCCCTTCCACTGTAACAAAGGTTCCAGCTGGAGCCAACTTTCACTTAAAGTAAGCACCTTGGAAATCAATACTTAACTTTTCCAAGTGTCCGATATTTCTGAGCTCAGATTTGCACTCTTTCAGTCTTTTAAAGTCATCTAGAGAATTGTTGGCCGGATATTTTATAGTAAACTTTTCGCCATCTTTCTTCTTATCTTTCTTGTCCTTTCCATCCATCCTCTCTACTCCCTCTTCTTTAATACTTGCTTCTGTGCAAGACTTCCTCTAGCGTTTTCCTAATTTTCAAAAACCTATAAAAGATCTTTGGCAGAAAAGATTTCCTAACCAGCAGAAGATTGTGTATGTTTTTATTCTGGCATGACGTGAAGGGTGTGTATATGACGGTACACCACCCATTTGCTGTGTATCATAATTAACTCCCCCAGGGAGAATATGAAAGAATGTGAAAGTATTCCAATGGCTTAGGAATGAACAGAGAAAAAATGGAGAAAAACACAGCTGTACAGCGCCATGCGTACCACTGAGGCTGTCTCTACTGATACATTTCTCTGCCAAGCTACAGTTCCACCAGGCATTTTACATTTGGTATGATTGCTAAGGTACAATTAAAGGATATGGGCTAACCACGTTTTAGTGAATTGAGACTTGTCAAATGCTATTTAACAACCAGATCCCCAAAGGTCACATCATACTTAAGATTCCGGATTACAAAGGTCCTCTTGTTCCTTGGGATGGGTCTTAGGGAAAAACCACCTTCAAGAGTTTATGGAAATACATCTACCTAGTCGAAGAATCCAGTTTCTTCACAAATGAAATGAGAGAAAGAAGGAAAACAAAGGGAGAGAAAGCAAGCATAGAATTTACAGATTAAGATTAGAGACATCTCAAGTTTATTAAGGAGAGGGGGACTAACCCTTACATGTCCCTACATCAGTGAAAGTTTCAAAACAGGACGGACATGGGTGTATAATAGGGTAGCGGATGAGAGAGGAAATGGCTGGAAGATGTCAGGGAGGAAGTGAATGGCAGCTTCATCAGGGGGCACGTACAAATTTCACACGGAAACATTTCCCAGCTGAAGTACCTGTGCAACCATTTCCCTGAGGAATAAAGAAACTTTTTTGTTTCTGGGAAAGGCCTTGGATGATAAAATGAATGTTATTATACTGAGCAGCAAATGGCTAACATCTAAACGAGGCGTCCCTCAAGCTCCCCACAGCACATCGCAGGGTACACATCTATTGAGTTTGACATGCAGAACAAGAAACCCATCAAAAAGCAATACAGAAAATCAAAGGGCACAGAATTTAAGACATAACATTATAACCTAGAATTCCAAGACAATTTCCTGCCATTATTATGCAAAGTTCTGTGAGTAACAAAATCCCAGGTAAGAATATAGGACAGAAAATGGATAAAATCATTTGGGAAAGTTTGTTTCTTGGAAAATTTGCAGACGTTAGAAAGGAGGTTTGGGGCTTGGTGCCTATAGCACAGTTGTTACAGAGCCAGCCACATACACTGAGGGTGGTAGGTTCAAACCCAGCTTGGGGCAGCTAAACAACTGCAACAAAAAAATAGCCGGGCATTGTGGCAGGCACCTGTAGTTCCAGCTACTTGGGAGGCTGAGGCCAGAGAATCCCTTAAGCCCAAGAGTTTGAGGTTGCTGTGAGCTGTGACGCCATAGCAGTCTACCCAGGGCAACATAGTGAGACTCTGTCCAAAGGGGAAAAAAAAAAAAAAAGAAGAACAGAGGCTTGGAATCTCTTGCTAAGGGGTGTGAACATTACGCTGATATCCCAGACTGCTGTACCCAGCTATCATCTTTTTCCTCCTTGAAGAAAACACAAATGCCCTCCTTTGTTCACGTTGATTACAGACCTCCACACAGTTCTCTGCTTCCCTGTCTGGCCTTTATTTTCCTCCTGCCTTCATTACTGATGTCATCTTAAGGTCAGCCCTGTGCTTTTTCTCTTCTCTTTTTGGGAATCAAGTGCTCCCAAGGTTTACACTATCACCCCTAGGCCACAGACTCCAAATCCAAATTCCAGCTTCTTCTCCCCCACCTCTGGCCTCCTGCTGTCTACCTTCATGGGAATGTTACCAGACACATCCAGATCTACTTCTGAACCTCTCTATTTCTGCGTGGGCTGCCACCATCCTCCTTAGACCCTGGGATTTTAAAACTTCCTATTTGTCATTTTCAACTCATTTGTACCCTTCATTTCACTTAGCAAGTCAGTTCGACTGACTCCTCCAGCTCCCCGGAGCTGTCACGGCAGTGGCCCCACAGGCTGACCTTCTCAGCGCACATCTGGATCACAACAGCAGCCCAGCCTGCCCTCCCAGGCACATCACATCTCACTCAATCCATCCAGTCTAGCATTCCCAGAATCATCCTTCAATTTCTGCCTGGTCACTCCCTTGTTTTTAAAAAATATTTCTCTTCTATTTAAAAAATAAAACTAAACAGATTTTTTAGGCATTCCAACCTATGCCCCAATCCATCCAGCCTGTTTTTTATGGCTGGTTCTTCTTTTTTTAAATTAAATCATAGCTGTGTACATTAATGCAATCACGAGGTACAATGTGCTGGTTTTATGTACCATTTGAAATGTTTTCATCAAACTGGTTAACAAAGCTTTCACCGCATTTTCTTAGTTATTTGTGTTAAGACATTTATACTCTACACTTAGTAAATTTAACATGTACCCTAGAGGGGAGGGGAGGATGGGTGGAGGGAGGCTAATTGGTGGGACCACACCTATGGTGTGTTTTTATGGCTTCTTAACAACATGATTTATTCCTGTTGTTTTATATCCTTGTTTGGAATTCCCTTCCTACCTCCACTTCCAAATCCCTGTCCCACTTCAAGGCCCTTCCCAAATCTAAACTCCTCCACTTTACCTTACACGACTGCATGTCACTCCCTTCCGAATTCTCCCCTCTAAGGATGTATACTGAGAAACTTAACACTTGATGAAATGATGCCGCTATTTCACCTGTGTTCATTTTCTTTCTCCAGCTATATGGCAAGATCCATAAAAATAAAGAAATGGTTTTCTGTCACAGTTCTACAGAGCCTAGGGCCAAAAACCTAATCTGCTATTTAAATATATTTTAGTTTTCCTTGACTGGAAAGCATGACACGTAAATGAGTTACCAATAACAAATCAAAGTACAAACAAAATGAATGATTTTTCAATGTTATACATTCATTGTAAAACTATTAAACATAAAAACCACTTTCTTACCTGATTTTATGCAGTCTGATGACTTGCAAATACCATCTAGAAAAAGGAGGGTACATACATAAATACTTGCAATACAGGCTTTTCAAATTTTCCTACCTTTTGTTCCTTTAAAAAGTACTGATTAAATAATCAATTCCTTTACAAAAAGAACTAGAAATTGAGTATTACATATCATTGTCATTGGTCAGAAAAAAATAGGCAAATATCATGAGCAAACTTAAATATAAAATTTCGATTATGAAAGAAAATGTTATTATATATTTCTACCAAGTAAGCTGTAGTCTTATTAAACTGAAATGATCAGTTGTTTTAGTCTAGAAATCATTTTTTTCCCATTAAAGAACCAATCTTTCCTAATCCTTCTTGTGAAAAATTTCCAAGACTCAAATTAGATTTCTTAAATTCCTGTAAAGTCTTTCAGAATTTACACAACAAAAGTTGGCTGATGACATTACTAAAGTTGGTCATAAAATTGTGAGTCCTTTAGTCAAATAAAATTATATGTTAGACTTCCATAAAGTAAACGTAAGTGCACTAAATATGCTTAACAATTAGCAATGTCGCTCAAACTTAAAAGACATTGGACTGTAGTCAAAGTTAGTCGTTTCGACATACTGGTGTTACATTTTACAAATGAATCTTTGTATGATTTTCTTCGTGTCCCGAGCGTTAATCCATTTGTTAGGGAGATGAAGATTCCCTTCTCTTCTGGGTTTACGTGTGCATGCGCGTAACTCACCATCATAGGTTGCGTAGAGAGCGATCATGGTCACAGCTATGACAGTGAGCAGCAGGACTAGGACGGAGAGACTGATCTCCAGGGGGGTCCATCGCTGTTTCTTCTTTGGCTTTGGAGTGTTGATGTCAGTTATATCCATCTGACTTTCTGATCTGCCCATCACCTAAAATCTGCAATAATGAATAAATGGGTAAGTAGAGAAAATTCATAGACAGTTTTCCAAATGCTTAATGTGGCTAACTAAAAGTAAAACATTAATTTCTTTTAAGTTAGAGATAAAAGTTTGCTTTTTTTTTCTTAAAGTGAAAATTTAGACGCTGAAAACTAGGAATGGAGAGCCAGATAAACCAGACAGGTCCCGGTTACAACCTTTTTGGGCTTTTTTCATATATCCCTGAAGATCCAAGTGAGTTTAGACAAAGAGACTTGGTTAAATACTCAGGTAGGAACTCTTCAGCAGTTCCTAAGCAAATAATTGCTGTGCCGTCATTAAGAAAGTTTTAAAAGGGCTCTTCTGAACTTTGGACTAACGTCAAAGGTTAATTTTGTATCTTGCTCCAGTGGCTTCCTTTATAAGGTCAAAAATCAGTGACTAATACCTAGAGGTTTTGACTAAGCGATAATTTCAAATATAAATACAGATTAAACCCCCAAAGGAACAAACAGTTGAGGCAGATTATTTTAGTCATACTTTATTTTTACAGTTCAAAATAACTACTACTGCTGATATGGTATCTATTAACCAACAGGTTAGACAACATTCTGAAAATGGTCACTCATTGGACCAAAAGTCAGTGGTTTACACTCTGGGATGAAAAATATTAACCACATCAACGTCTTCTTGGGGGATAAAAGAGATAAAAAATACATGATTAAAAATATTTCTACCTTGCAGCTCAGGGTCTTACGTGTTAAGCTATAAATTTAATGTATATTTAAATTAATAATAGTTAGAATTCTACTAATAATAGCTGAGACTTACTGTACGTTTTTCATGTGACAGTCACAGTTCTTAGTGTCTTACATGTACTAATTAACTTAACCATCATAACAAGGGTATTCATATTCCAATTTTATCTTCTGGGAAACTGAAGCACAGAGAATTCAAGTAACTTTCTCAAGTCTACCCAACTAGTCAACACTCTCTGTAAAGATCTCATCTGGTCATTGTTCTGAATAAAACTATATCATCATGCAAGAAAATCTACTTCAGATCTTATCGCAAAAATTTGGCAGGGGGGCCTTAAGGGGATGCAAGCCTACATATTACATTTCAATATTTCTTTTAGAGGCCTAGAGATTCTTTATAAGTCAGTCACCAAAGCTTAGAACATACAATTTCCACTTCTCTTCCTGACTGCATAAAAGAACATCTCAAACTAAAAAAAATTGGCTGTTTATAGCTTAGCACAAATTAATCTTAGAATTTAGTTCCTCGAGAAGTGATTGCTCAGAAATGCTCTTTTTTGTTGAATACACACAATTCTCTGAGGTTGTGTTTTGTGGGAACTGAGGCATAGGAGAAAGGAGAAACATATTCTATATTGAAGTGTGGTCTGGGTGGAGATAACAGATAATTAGAAATATCACCTCCCCAGTGAATTAGTAATAAGTGAACCACAACTAGACTTTAAAGTTCTTGATACAAAGTCTTAAATATGTTGTCCCTGTGATTACAAAGCTCTATAAGCAAGGACAGACTATGAAATAAAAATACTTTATTAGACAATGAAAACTGTGTCTGCTCAATAAAAGTGGAATGCAATGTACCTGAATGTTAAAATGTCTTACTTAATGGTTATGTAACTCATGTTGGCTTCCTCTTACCACCCCTGGGGTTATGATATGGAATTGCATTCATTGATCTCGGGCCTATTTTAATAGGAATAGTGGTTGGGCAAAGAAAAGATGGGAACAAATTTAATACTTGGACACTTCACAGAGAGGTAAACAATAAAAAGAGTAATTTTTCCACTCCCTCCAGATTTCAACACTGACCTAAAGAACGTCTGAGTATTAATCACATTTGCTTTAGTATCTCTCTCTCTTGAATATGTCTCCCCCTACTCTAATAATATTTAGGAGGCAATCTGGAGAAATGTTTTACTGGTATAAAATGACCCACTTTTTAAAAATTAGTAGTTCTTCCTGAGAAACAGCAGTGTCTGTGCAAAGTAAAGGTTAGGGTGGGGGGAGAAGGGCGGATAAGGGTTGGCATGGTGCAGGAAAGCCAGTAGACAGGCATTTCTTTCCCCTTTCTGAGTCTTCTTCCCTGGCTCTTCTCCTTACCCTGGAGATTGTGGTGTGACGCAGATGGACTCTTAATGCTTGGGCACCTAAGGCTGTAAACAGTAACAGGGAAATTAAGGCAGTGACTGAAGACGCAGCAAATGAATATCACCTTTGAATAACCTGTAAACTCTCCATCTGTGCCTCCTGTAACGCTCCATGAATTCTTCAAAGAAGTCTTTTGCTTCTAAGTAGGACTTTTTGACAACATTGAGCAAAAGCAAAAATAACGCAAGTTTAGCCTCTTGATTAACTTTATCGTTCCGTTCCAGTGAATTCTGGAGGGTTTGTTATTTTCCTTCAGGAAAACAGGGGACGGAATCTTGAACCTTAGGATGGAACACATCACTAACACACCCCAACACCTGAATATGCAATCTAACCACACCCAACCACATTTAAGGAGGAGGGGAAGGGGCTACAAGTAAACAAAAAAATACCAAAAAACTGAAAAGTTGATTCTTGTGATCCCATATGAAGTAGGAGATGCAAAAACATACCCATATTCTTAAAATATTTCTCCTCAACCGGAGATGTGTCGTTAAATGTCTAAACCACAGATGAAGAAAATAGAGAATGAGTAGATGTCACTCAGCAAGAACCCGACAAACCTCTGCTTGACAACATCACCAAATTATTATTTTGCTTAAGATAAGCTCAATTTCCAATAATGTAAAGCAGTGATTCTTATTCCAATGGGGCTCTAGCATCACTTTATCAGACAGTCAAATCAAGGAACCTGAGTAATTGATTTCTTAAAGGGGAGTCTATTTGCAGACTTATCTAAGCCATTTTCATCTTCCCAGCACGTTACAACATAAATTTATTTCTGCAAATTCCTCAGGGTGTCCTATGCAATGACGGTTTGCATTGTGGAAACGGAGGCACAGGAAGACGCGGAAACAAGTTCCCTGTTTGAGCCATGTCTGCAGAAGCTGAGGAGGGAGGGACTCAGGAGAATCATCCTGTTTCCCAGACGTTAACTAGTAGGTGTTTGCTGGGCCTGAACTATGAGTTCCGGACACAAAGTCCCCACCACATTTCCCCCCGTGCATAGTGTAGCTATACAACCAAAGACACAGCATCAGGTTCAAGAAACTATCAGGCAGTTTTTATAACATCAGGTTCAAGAAACTATCAGGCAGTTTTTATAAAGTGCTAGAACTTAGCAATAACTCAAAGGGGTGAAACTGTATGCCTTCGTGGCCGAATTGTTGAAAGGCAGCTTCCAAACGCTGACGCTGCAAGTCGGGTGCTAGTTTTCAGTTTAATAAAATTGCCATTTGAATCATACAGAGAGAAGTAATAGACTTGATCAAAAGGCTAAGGCAGGGCTTTCGGTTGCAATTATCCTCACTTTAAAACAATAAAAGTAGATTGAGACCAGTTAAGCGAGGAGATGGTCTGAAAACTTTTGTCTGCAAAAGAACACCCTCACTCCGCACCCAGGAACCCTTGTGTGATTTGAGCATAAATTACATAATAGAAAATTAAGGTTCAAAGCAAGATGAAGAGGTGGGAAAATGAAAAGATCTTCAGGTTAAGAAAAGCAAAAACAGAAAAGTGAGTTATAATTGAGAAAATCCGACAGAAACCAAATGAAAACAAACCTTACTTAAAAAAAAAAGAAAAGAAAAGAAAAGAAAATCAGCGTCTGTACAGCAGCCTGGCAAATTCCCAGCCCCCAAATCAGCCCCGCAGCAATTTGGTAGCGCTGATCTCGGTAACCAAACCTAACGGCCCGGGCAGAGGCTGCAGGGAGCTGTAGGAAATGAACCCGGAGGGTCGACCTGGCATCCCCGGCAGGGCAGGGTCCTCCTCCAGGTCACCCTCTTTGCCCCTTTCCCTCCCTCACTCTTCAGGTCCCAGCAGCGGCTGCTTCCCGGGCACGCCTCCCTCGCCCACGGCCGCGGAGTCCCGGGCGCTCGGGTCGCGCCAGCCTCAGCCGCTGACCCCTCGGCGCCCCCGGCAGCCGCTCCCACCGGCCGGCTCTGCCCTCCCGTGCGCGTCCCACGGGCTCCCGGCGCCCTGGACGCTCGCGCCCTTTGGACCCTTCTGCCTCCGCGCCCAGGTGCCAGCTCGCTCTCCTGGGACTCACCAGTGGGATTCGGGAGAAGTTGGAGGCTGCTGAGCAGACACATCCCGACCAATGAGCGCGCGGGGCCGGGCGCGGCGGGCTGCGGGCTGCGGGCTGCGGGGGTCGGGGAGCCCCGCCGCGCGCCGCTCGGTGGGTGCATCGGCCCCGGCGCGCCCGGAGCGGCGCCGAGCCGGGCCGCACTTCGGGGAGGTTCCGGGCCAGTTTCGGCCTGGGCCCGGGGGCGATGGGAAACCCGGGCAGCCCTCGGACCCGCACCCGGAGAGACTCACCGTGGCCTCTGTGCGGATCCCACGCCGGGAGTTGGCGGCTGCTCCCGCCTGCGCTCGGCCGAGCCTCGCCACTTGCACATCGCGCCCCGTGCGTCTCGGTGCTCTCGGCACCCCCACCCCACCCCCCCGCGCCGCGGCTGGACCGGCGAGAGGAGCAGTTCCCCGGGTGACCTGAAGGTTTCCGCTAGGTCTTCCGAATCCAGGCGTTTCAAGTGTGGGGGCCGGCGGGGCGGGGGGCGGCATGGACGGGAGAAAGTCCCCCCCCCTTCCCCCCTCCTCACCCTTCCCCAAAGGGCTTTGCCAAACATTCTTGGAATTGCTTAGCTTCGGGGCTTTCAAGAAAACAATACACTGACTCTCGGGGATTCTGCGGCGCGGATGAAGGCTCTGGCTCCCCGGGACCGAGTCCGTGAAGCTCGTCTGTCTCACACTCTTCGCTCCTTTTCCTCCTGCATTCAAGTTTCTCTCCTTTCTTTCTCATTTCAGAATTTTCTCCCCTTCCTTTCTTTCTTCTTTTCTTCTCCTCTTCCCCCTCTCCTTCTCATCGTCCTTCCCTCCCCCTTTCCCCTCTTTCTTTTCCCTCTTCCCCACCACCCCGCCTTTGGTCAGAGCAAATAGGATTCCAAGATCTGTACTGAAACTCTTCGCTTCCACCTCCTGACTCTGGGGAATCTCGTAACAGGTGTACCTGGGAGGTTGACGGTGGAAGGAAGAAAGACAGATAAAAATAAGCTAACATGTGTCCTACCTACTAAAATTAGCTGTACCGTGTGTGGACCCTTGTCATTTAATGCGGCCGGGCAGCACCACTCCTCACACTGAGAATCCTTCACAGAAGGGTAAAAAATCAAGGAAATAATTTTTGCACAAAGGCAATTTGTTTCATAAAGGCTGCCTTTAGCAGCTGTAACTGCCAAAGAGTTCAGAAAAACTGAAGCTCCGCTATTTTGTGTGTGTGTGCGGCTTCCTTGATTCTTAATTCAATGCCAAGTATATGAATTGCTTTCAACACTGATTCCTTTCCTCCTTTGAATTACATGTAATCACACACACACACACACACACACATACACACACCCTGGAGAGAGCATACTGAGTTTTCCTGAACTTGGAATTACCTGTTTTTAACATCAAAACAACTTCTTGAGAGGAGATAGAGCTTCAGATTTAACACAACTTATAAGTCCCAGGGATGTCATACAAAGCCTAGAAAGAAGAAAAAAAAATCAGATCAAAGATTGCTACATAAAACTGAGACCACTGAAAAGAAACACCAGTGGTGAAAAGACGAACTAACAAAAAAACAAAACTTTAAAGCCCCCTCCCACCGTCCCCCTCAATTCTCCCCTCAGAAATGTAAATATATTATTCCCTTTTCTCAGCCTAGAGTGAGACTGATACATTTACAACAGGGCTGATGTGGTGGCTCACGTCTATAATCCCAACACTTAAGAATCTAAGGATCACTAAAGGCTTAAGGATCACTTGAGAGTTGGAGACAAACCTGAGAAACATAGGGAGCTTCTGACTCTACAAAAAAATTACAAAAATTAGCTGGGCATGGTCATAAGTGCCTATAGTTCCAGCTACTCTGGAGGCTGAAGCAAGACAATTGCTTGAGCCCAGGAGTTTGAGGTTGCAGTGAGCTCAGCTGACACCATGCACTCTAGCCCTGGCAACAGAGTAAGATCTGTCTCAAAAAAAAAAAAAAAAAAAAAAAACAACCCCACACAAATATTTATTTTAGACTTCAGATGGACATAGGGCTAGAACTTATATTAATTATGTGGCTTCTCTCTCTGTCTCTCTCTCTGTCCTCTGTCTTCCCCCTCACTCTACTCTCTCTCTCTTCTCTTCCTCACTTTCTCCTTTTCTCTCTCCCCTCTTTTCTCGCCTCCTCAGTGCTGCTCTGCAGCCTCCCTCCCCCCCACTATAAAAGCCTTTCGTACAAAAAAAAAAATTATGTGGCTTGAATATTCCCAAGTTAAAATTTTACAGTAAAGTAGTCCCTGCTAGACTGTGCTAAATAAAAATTGAGAGAATTATGGCCACCTGATTCTCATTTAAGTGACTTGCCCCTCATAAAATTAATGAAGGGCTATAAGGTGGGAACTATGGTTGGGGAAATATGGGTATAAACAGTTTTTTTTACCCTAGCTTGCTTTCCGTCACATATGTGATGGTCATAGAGATTCTTAGCTTTTTTCACTGCTACCATAGATAACATCACCCTTGTGAAACCTGGAGATAAGTGCTGAGATCTCTTCCATGCCCTGCCTTCCAGTTGAATGGTTGACTCACCCAGTCCAGTGGCCTATACCGGGAAACTGACTCAACTGGTGTTCTGACTTCCAGCCAAGAGGGACTCAGCAAGAAGACAATTTCAACACCCCTATGTTCCCATTCAGAACCCAGTCAATTAGCAGATCCAATTACGTAGCCCTTTGCAAGCCAAAATGTTACTACTCAAAGAGGGTCCAGTGCCCTTGGGGGCCATTGGCCACACTGTCAGCCAATGAGCACTGGGACAGATCCACTAAACTTTGTCAGAAGGCCGGAGATTGTGCAGAACAGACAGAGTAGCCTCTCCAAAACTGTTCTTCCATTTCTGAAATTACCGTTTTATACATAAAAGTTCAAAGCAAAGACCACATTAACCCTTATTCTAAATAATAATCAGCATAACTCAGTGACCTATTAACATTCCAATTCAAAAGCTAATCTTCTAAATCAATCCATCTAATCTACTCAAGATAGGTACCCTTAGGGTGGAAGCTAAAATCATAAAACAATGAGGGAAGTAAAGGTTACTTAGGACCTAAACCCTGTAGACCAGCTGACTGGTCTCCATCTTGTTCTCACTACATGTATTTTCAAAACTATCTTTAGAGACCAAAATTTCCAGAGAACAGATTTGAGAAATTTCTCCATCTCTTTGTAATTTCACAATTAATGTCAGTTCCCCGGTATAGGCCACTGGACTGGGTGAGTCAGCCATTCAACTGGAATGCAGGGCATGGAAGAGATCTCAGCACTTATCCCCACGTTTCACAAGGGTGATGTTATCTATGGTAGCAGTGAAAACAGCTAAGAATCTCTAGCTACTAATCCATCTAATCTCAAGATAGGCACCCTTAGGGTAGAAGCTACAATCATAAAACAATGAGGGGAGTAAAGATTACTTAGGACCTAAACCCTATAGACCAGCTGACTGGTCTCCATCTTGTTCTCACTACATGTGTTTTCAAAACTATCTTTAGAGACCAAAATTTCCAGAGAACAGATTTGAGAAATTTCTCCA